TTAATCACCACCTTGTTAAAAATAGCACCTTTAAAAACAGCAGACTCGATCAGCTTAATTTCCCAGGTGTTCTGTTTGGCCTTTATCTTTTGCATAAGCTACACAGTTTGAAGAGGTGCCGTCTGTCTCGCACATCAAGAGCCTTTTCAGGCTCCAACCTTTACATCATCTTTCCTTGACCAAGGTGAGTGCCAGACATACACACTGCTAACCGATCCCACAATACCCGGAGGGGAAACACATAAACATCCTCCAATGTGATTGCTCCGGCTAATTCTGCTGAGAAGGTGTTTTTATAAACTCAGCAACAGTTTATTCAATCAATCATGGCTAAACAAACTATGGATTAGTGCAAAGTGAGAGCCAACTATGTCATAAATTAAGATAAATCGGGCAAGCTGTAATTTGATTTGCTCCCATCCTGCCTCTAGCATCCCAGGAAGGGCAATTGCTGAGCATTCAACCAAGAATCTTGACTATACAAGGTACACTGTTTATAATTCTTCAGCGGTGGCCTCTCCCCACTTTCAGATCAGAAATACTGTTGCAGGATAAATCACAATTTCAAGTATCGTGATCCAGTATCAATTACTGATATGCCACACCATGCTGGCTAAGCTAGATAGAACAGAAGTAGATCTTTGTATTTAAATATACACTGTAGATAAAGACACGGGGTAGAGATTTAAGTTACGACAATGAAAGGCGTGTTTAAATCTGGAATACAGAACTTTCCCAGAATCACAATCTTTTTTCCCTTTTCATGATGCTTACCCAATTCAGCCTTTCCCAGACTTTGGCCCATTGGAATACATTAAGACCTCAGTTCCAGTACAACCACGGACACTTAAACATTCCTCTTGTGTTCAAGAGATGCTCCAAGCCATTCTCTTCCTTTTCTCTTTTGCTCTGTCTAGATCAGTGTGGTTCAAACTTGGCATGTTTTAAGATGTGTGAACTTCGACTCCCAGAATTCTGAAAGCTGATATCCACACAATTTAAAAGTTGCCAAGTTTGAAAAACACACTGATCTACTTGCAGAAGAACCGTGTTTTTAACATCAGAACATATTCCTGCCATTATGTCTAGTTTGACCTTTGAGGTAAAAGCCTTTTCCAGGGTCTGCTTTATGTAATAAATTGGGTGTCTGTGGGATTCTTTCTGGTCAGAACTGAAGAGGTAAATCTATTCTCACCACCACCACCACCCCAAAAAAACCCTCTTCAGTTAGTATTTGTGCCATCAATTCAACACCACGGTTTTCAGTAAGAAACTAATTAATGGCAAATGAGGTCCTGTTTGAGGATTCATAACGAGGGTCCTTGAAGACTGACATCTATATCTAGCATTGAACAGAGGGCTTTCTGTTCACTTAGCAGTAGACAGTAGTTGATTGCAAGCTAAGAAAGCAAGTGCAACTTCAAGACTCTCCAACAATCTTGAATTACTCTATTGATAAATACACACTTTTTAATATGACGCAAAAGCTACTGCGGAGAACAAAATCTATGCTTAAATTTGCACATCAATGAACCCACTGAACTGCACCCCAAAAGCTGGCCCATTTTTGCCACTCTTGAGCAGCTACAACTAGATGTTGGATAGCATTATTTGCATATAGCGTTTACACATAGCCAATACAATATATATTTCGGTAAATATGCAAAAATATAAGTCCAAAACACAGTACGCTGAGTAGTGAGGCTTTAAAGCAGGGGTGTCAAACTCACGTCATCAAAGCATTGTCACGTGACGTATTGTGACTCCCCCCCCTTCACTAAACTGGGCGTGGTCGCGGCCAGCGCGTGACGCATCCAAGTTTGACTGCTTTAAAGGAACATAAAATCCAGCATGGACACTTCTATAGCAGTTACTCAAATACCATCACTAGGAGAAGTGAAGTGCTTTAATGCATTTCATGGAATAAAGGTAAGAGAGAAAAGAGAAACAAGCTTATATGGTATCTGAAATAGCATTTTGGACAGCTTGAAACCATTTGCATCAAAGATGAACAACTTGATAGCCCTGGATTTTGCGGTTCCTTCACACTTTGTGTGTGGCTCCCAGAGATAACCAACAGCTGTTTCTAAAATGATAATTGTTACTACACTAGGAGGAGAATGTGTCTAATAGATCCCTAACTATATTTCATTTCAGTTAGTAGGAAATTAAATGAAATGTGGTTTTTGTTCTGGGCTCACCTACCACTTTCTGGCAAAACGTCTGGCATGCTATTTAAATCATACTCGGCCAAATTGTACGTCCTTAATCTTTTCTTCAAACTTCATGTTTAAAAATAGTAGCATAGTAGTTCTGATAAATCTGGTTTCATGGCAGCTACAATGCCACTGGGTTTGGTGCATGGTGTTATTCCTATCCAGGCAGACAAGACAGTGTTTCATGGGATAGAAAGTAAATTGAGTCACAAGAGAAATCCCCGGGGAAGATTTTAAATGGCGAATTACATTGCCTAGTCTGAAGACTTGTACTCTTCAGCTACATTGGCTTTCATAACTCCTGGATAGCACAGC